GGTTCCTTCTTCTGCAGCTGCTTGTAGTGCATTGCCATAAAGGCCACCCTGAGCATTCACATCTGCCCCACGATCGAGGAGAAGCTGCGCAATCGGTTCGGTTCTTTTGAATGCAGCTGCTTGTAGTGCATTGCCATAAAGGCCACCCTGGGTATTCACGTTAACCACATTCTCCTTTCGATTGACGAGTAAATTAGAAGCCATAGGTAAAATTAATAATGAGCAATAGTAGATTGCTGGTGGGTAAGCTCCGGAATCTGGGGGTTTAAGCCGCCAGGGATGGTCGGGGTCATATATATCTAGCCAGGCTCGGCCAAGCTCGAGGACCCTTATTGCGGCATCGCAGAGCGAAGTGGGCGCCATATACTCAATTGATCTAAAGTGCACGAACCAATGGCGAGCGCTGTAGTAGAGAAATGACTCTTCTTTGACTTTATCCCCACGTATGGTACCAAGTCCACTATGCCGCAGTATTCGGCTAAGACAGGCGTGCCCCATCCGTAAATTGGCTCGATCCTCCGAAATATGGTAGTAGGCACTCGAGCCTTGAGCTGCCCGGTCCGAGATCAAATATTCCTTTACCGAGAAATGTGCAAGTCGTAATAGGCGGCTTCCCTGAGCGGAGGATTCATCGTCCCTGATGTCCTCAAAGGAAATAAGGCTAGGGCAAATGCTCAGGAGAGACTGCATGTCAAAAAGGGTTTCCGAATTCTTGTCATACTTGCTGACATCATATTCTATCACAATGGCCTCCGCAAGCTGGCCTAATGTCAACGGTTCTGCCGAAAACACTAGCCAATTCATTGCTCGCCGGATATATTCCTTCTGCTTCTCTGGAATGGTATCAAGGATCCTCTCGTAGATAGAGTCTAAGTCTTCCGGGAGTTCCCTCAATGCATCCCGCACTGATTTAGGTGTTATGCATTCTTCCAGAATTCTCAGGAGACAATCTACCCATCGGAACCTGAAAACACGCGCCAGAATATTAGCCTAAGTGGAAATTCAACGATTCGGCATAACGCACATTCCCTGTGAACCCGCAACTAGCGTTTCCTCTATCTCATTTTTGACTTCTTGTGTGAACTTCTTGAAACCATCCTTGCCGGCTAGAGAGTTCCGTATATATGCACGGATATCCGGATCAATAGTACTGGATTGTAGCGATATTGAAAAAGTAATAAGCGGTTCCAGTGATCTCGCTATATCGGCCTCCGGCCGGCTGGTGACGAGAATCGAAAGCGATCCTGTATCATGATCCGCCATGAGCTCGCCAATCCAAGACAGAAGGGTCCCACGTATGGCCTTCGGAAATTCATCCAAGGCATCTAAAATGATAAAGGTCTTTTTGGAGAGCTTCGTGATCTGCAAAAATGCGGTTTTCAGATCGTTTATATCTGGTAATATTCCAATCGCCTTGGAGTCGTGGTATAGCTTGATGATCTCATCGGGCAAGGTCAAGTCGGAACGCCCCCGCAGCAGTTGGCCAATGATGGATAGAAGCACATTCAGCAAATTTTGCTTCCCCGAGTCACTGAAGGTGAAATAGAAATAGGCTGATGCGTGATCCTCATTCGCCCTGCACAGATTTTTGACATCCTCAATCGCGGTAGCGCTAAATAGACAGTCAGCAATCAGGAAATCACATTGTACCTTTGGATACCCCGTTGAGCTCGCACCTTAGGACACTTTTTCCACACCCGGCTACAAGAGAAAAATATTAATGACATCCCTAGAAGCATACGATGTCACCCATCGATAAACTCACGTATACCATATAGCCAGAGAACCCCTCCACTACTTTCCTTCCAATCGAGATACTCGCGCCCCGTGAGCAGCCAGTTCCCCGTACCAGGTTCACGAACCGTCAGTGCAGATGAATAATTGGTGCTAGGATCAACAACGTTAAGCCATTTTAGCACCTCGCGGAATTCCTTCTCTAGGATTGCAGAAACATCTGGTATTAGTAAATAAATTAACCAGGAGGGTTAGGGATTTTGTAACCAAGTACCATCTAGTGTTCGTGACATCTTTGTTGCCGTCGTCCTGAACAACTAGTTAGCCTTGCCCCCGGAAAAAACAGACGAAGTGGAGAAGTCAGATTCTTCAGGTATGGAGGAGTGGAGAACCTACGTTGTGGCTGTAATCAACAGCAGTTGAAGTTTTGACCTCTGCCCTTCAATTAAGGCTAGGTAACGCTCCATTTTAGGCTTATGAAGCGGCCAAAAAAACTTTCGCGAGGATTTTTTCCATCCCGGGGCATCTAATTTTTTCTCCAGCTCCGTGAGGGCTGTAGCATAACCTTGCAGATTTTCGTTTCTTGTCCATTCAAGTAGTCTAGGGTATCGTGGGTTGTTCTCATCACCTTGTGCAGCAAGTTTTTGTATTTCCTTCAGCTGCTCGCCAATACTCCTGATCTCATCAGCCAGTCTCTTGAAATCGTGTTCGCTCTCCTTGACTGCATCGCGGTATTCATCGCAAAGCTGATAAACCTTTGCCCCGAGGTGAATGAGGGCCAGGCCGCTAGCAGAAATCGAGAACGGTTCTGCCATTTCCTTTCTCACGATTCTTGTAGGTCTGGGATGGAGTTTAAGTTGCTATGAGAGCTCCGTATCTTTCAATAGCGAAAGACGAATAAAAGTCGGCCTTCGAGTTCAAGGTGGGTCCCGGGAGCTTGAGGAGCTTTCAGTTATGCCCTCCGACAGCGGATTCGGGGATCAGCATAATACAGCAACTACTCGTAGGAGGGTATTTTTTCGGAGCGAGGTCCTTCTTAAGAGTTCCAAGAGTGGGGCTCCGAAATGCGTAGCGCTTACCTGGGTACACTAGTAAGTTACACAAGAACGGTAGCTACATGCCCAGTGGCTGTCGGCACAACTACAGCTGAGGATGAGATTGCTAAGGTGTATCAGCCCCCGCGCTGCCATTTTGAGCAACGATCAAATTTATTTCCCCGTACGGGCTTCAATCCCAGTAGGTGCACGGCACAATATTCTACGTAAATGGACGGCAGGTGCACCCGATTAAATAATGCTGTGTTTTTTGACAAAGTTGATCGTACCGACTCGCTACAAGTACATGTACGAGTACTCAGGCGATGCCTCACTGAATTCAACAAGGCAACGTGGCAGTCAGATTTACCTGCATGCTACTCGGGGGGCGTTCGGTTGCCGCTACCAGCAGCTGAGCCTGTTCTCTTTACTAAGACCTTTGATTTTCCCTATGCTATTAGCACAGGTAGTTCCGGTAGTTTCATGCGATGCAACGTTGTGCGACATTCAGCCCCGCCCCGGTCTCGAACAGGTGAGGCGCATTCTCCCCGCAGCCCAGGGCTCCGTCTCTGCCCGTGTGCAAGAGATCGGTTGGCGGCCCTCCCTGACTACTGCTACCGCTAGGCCACCCACTAATTTGTTAGGTGCCCTGTGCACATCCCCCACATAGGTCGGCTGTGTCCCTTCATGTTGTGCAGTGAAAAGAAATACAGTACACCCAGGTCTGGCGACCACTCCCATATTGCAGGGGGAGGGCGAGCACCCCACATCAACATGCGGTTAGACTACCCCACCGTTCCTTCTCGGTTGAGCCCAAATCCTTCTCCTCTCTTCTGCTTCCTTCACCATGGGTGTGTTAAGCGGTCATCATTCCTAGACACCGTTGTTTTCCGTCCTCCATCCTCCTTGGACAAATCATTCATACAGGACCCACCTCGGTCGAACACGCCATTCAATCCCGGAAGTCGACCGAAATACTTCCATATTGATATTTTCCTAGCACCGATAACTTACCAAAATCACTCCCTCGGATACGCTACTGTGCTCTCGAAGGGTTCCCAGCTGTTAAGCGACCAACGAGCCCCGTGCAGATTCAGAGCCCCTCTCTTTGCCTATCTCGAGGCCCAGAGTCGGATTGTACTCGAGTACTGTACAAACATCCCCAAGTATAGCGCACTAGTTCAATCCCCTAATTTTCCAAATGACAAACAACGCACTGCCGGTGACTAGGGGGCACCACACCCCCCTGTGCCGTCGTCGTCCTTCGACTTCTTGAAATCCCCCCCCCTCCTCCCAAACGGTAGGTTGGGGGTTAAGGTTGGCTCTCTAGCTAAGAAAAAAATCCCTCAACAAACTTCTCCACTGAGAACCTCCGAGAAAGGAATAACAACACCTATCATGCCCCGAATCACGCACTATTATTCCACACATTAGCCTACCGTAGGTCCCTCCCTACATGTCAGAAAATATTGAGTAATTATTGTCATGCCATCACACCTCTGCTTCCACTTTGAAATTTACTATGATAGTTGTGGGCACCAGAATGGTTGATACCTGTTTCAGCCCTGACCTTTCCTAACGCGCAGGACCTCGATATCGCATTTGGCCCCCGTCCCTTCCCTTCGTAACTAGCTCCCGACTCCTCGAGCAACGCACTTTGCTTTCCATTGTTCACATTCGGACCCAACCTCTCCTACAGCATTTCGCCACTAGCCGCTTTATATTCTTACCCGCCTCCTCAAACTTCTCCGCCAGTTCACCGTGTGTAGATACTGTCCAAGAGCTGAATTCTGTCCATTGCGCGCTGTGTCCCCCAATTCATATGCCCTTGGCCACGGAACGGGATGGGAGAGGTCCGGAACATATTTTCTATTTACCTTACTCTATGTAGGTAATTAGGCATGCTATCGGTCACTTCGGCTATCTGCTTTTTACCCCACCTCCACTACGGCTGCGCCCCGCGCCAGCTATGATTTGCCTATCACAACTGCTACGACTTGCCATCCACCATCGCCCTGATCGCCCGTAGCCTTCCAGCAAGAGGGCGACTCGACCAGCGATGACACATGTCGCACGTGTTTCCCCTTACAACCCTATTAGGCGGGGTGGCATAGAATGAGGGCTGACAATATGCTATGGCCCATCTAGCCCATTCACAAGGATGAGGAGTATACTACGAGGAATCCTAGATCGAACTCCACACCCTCTACTTCTTTTTCTCTCCCTCATTTCGTGTGGCCTACCGGTATGTCTAGTGCCACTGTATCAGTCATTAAGGGGCTAGGTTGTTTCCAAGACAAGTCCAAAGATGGCCCTTTACTCGAGCAAGTTCCTTGCTGTGCCCACAAAAGCTCATCTTATCCTAGGCAGCCTTGCAATCTACGAAGAAGCAGGGATCGGGACTGCTATTGATCTTACAACTATTCCTCTGTTTAGCCCCTTATTGTTCATGACTAGCCCCGTTTGTGTTTTTCCTTTTTTATTATTTTAGGCTGCCGAGAGATCGCCATCCCACCTGAGACTATTTACTGGTCGGTGTACCTTTTACCCTTTTTGTCCGGGCCCCTAATTCTATGCGTGAATGTCTGAAAAGGCCAGCCAGGGCAAGAGTCCCAAATATCGCGACCACTTTGCCCTTCTTTCTGTGTCACTTGGGCATCCAGTCCCCCCGCACCGCCACACCCCCTATCACGTGATACCCCGGATCTCACAAGACCAGATGCTTCATCATCCCAAACAATGCGCGCCACCCCTGAACTCCTTCCACACGAAAGCCCAACCTACCACCCTTGTGCCTACAGTTAGTACAGGCAACTACCTTCGCGTGTGGTGGTGTAGGGTTTGGGATGAGCCGGGAGCAAGCCTTGGCAGTCATGTATATCTCAAAAAAATCCCCGGCCGGAGTTAAGAAGAACATCAAGTCATTCCTTCCATCTCACACATTCAGTACCCGGACCACTCGCTTTGCTGGGTGGATCCACTCCATTTTAGCCAACAGTGCTTGGGATAGGCAATATGTGACAATATATCACTTCAACTCGCTGCTATTTCTATCGAATTTTGTTCTCGAGCTTCTAAGGGGCCCTTGGGTGGTTATCCTCCCACGGAATAGGTGGCGGAGGAAATATTGGAAAAAGGAATACTTGTTGATTTGTATGATAGCTGTTCGAAGTGTATGCCATTTTACATCTTACGATTTAGGATATTTCCAATAGACGTTCACGCACCCCGCGTTTGCTCCCCTCCCGGTATACCACCGCTCCCGGATTCCGCATTACATTTGAGGGGGAAGGGGCATGAGAAGGCTTGGAGAAGATGGGGAGGGAATATCAGGACGGGCAGGAACCGGGCAAACATCCTATGCAACGGAATGCTGTGGAGATAGAGGGCATGGGGGAAATAAGAAACATAGCGGAATGATGGGTGGTTAGACGGGTGATGCAACCTAAGGAAAGTGCAAAGTTGGGGGACGAAGCGGGCAGGGGCAAGCATACACAGATGGGCAAGGAAGGGTGGTGAACGAGATCGATGGGGCTGCCGGTTAACAGCAGACCGGGAGATATATTGGCCAGTATAGCCAATAACTCGGGAAACCAACTGAAACAGAGCCAACTCCCAAGAAACACTCCCCAGGAATCACCATGATGCACCGTAATCCTGCATGGCCCTAATCACCCTGAAGGATCCAAACCACGAAAACTGATGCCCTACGCCTAATGCTAATTAACATGAAGCGTGAGCCACACGAAAAAAGGTAGAAAGGAACGGCGCCAAACCGAGCACCCAACACCCAATCTCCAACGCCAAACGGCACCAACAAACCAAAAGCCAATCCCCACGCCCACCCCTGCGGAATCCGGCCACCGCACACCCTAAAGCCGCCCGCCCCATACGCAGACACCTCCAAACTCCACATGTGATGGGTTTTCCGAATATAAGGATCGGACGGGAAGAATGAAGAGTCCGCCCCATGTGGGGTGTGGAGAAATACATGAGTACGGGAGGGTGAAACAAGAGGTCGCGCCTCGTCACGTTCTCCGAGATGGAAGAGAAAAGCGAAAAGGTGTGGGGGTGGGTGATAAGGAAGGATATAGGGATCAGATGGATGGGTGGATGGATGGATGGATATGAGATATTGCTGCAGAAGGATCTCGGAGGAGAGA